AGCGGTCTGAATTAATGGTGGAAATTGATCGGAAATAACCTTGTGCCAATAAGCATTTCAATTGCATTTATCATTAGCAAATATCATTTCGCATTTGTCATTTCGCAAATAGCAATTCGCAAATAGCAATTCGCATGGCAGAATGGCTTTCCATACAAAACGTTTTCCCAACTCAACAAATCATTTAAACAAAAATGACAATTCAAATTAACAATGGAACTCCACAGCTTAACTGCATTTAAGCACGGATTAATATAAATCCGTGATTTAAGTCAGCTGCCATTTTGCCAATTGAGGATCACTTAACTATAGTGTCTGATTTGTGCCATTTCGTTATTTTGTTTGGTTGTGGTTGTTACAAGTAGCAAAACCTTGAAGAGAGACAGAATGAGAAACATATATAACAATTTATTTTGTCACACACCTTTTTTACCTTTTTCAGTATTTTGTGAATATATAGGCTCTTCAAACGCAACAACACAAAAAAGATAAAATGATGAGAGGGGACACATTTTTCCATGTGTCATAGGGTGAGAGAAATGTGCAGCCTGACTGGAACTCGAACCCGGGACCTTTAATAGTGAACACTTCTGAGCTGTGACATACTCCCCTGCTATTTTGAAATTCTTCCTCGAATTTCACAGAGTTACAGAGAAATGTAAATTAAATTTCGAGCTAATTATTATTCAGTCACAGTCCCCCATTGGGCACAAAGTGTCAATGGGTGAGAAAAATGTGCAGCCGAGCAGAAATCGAACCTGGGAACCTTGGAATACCATACCGCTGCTCTACCGACTTAGCTATCTGGCCGCTTACACATCATCTCCCCAAAATAGTGAAAAATTCTGACCCCTGCTATATTGAAATTCATCCTTGAATTTCACAGAGTCACAGAGAAATAAAAATAAACGCTGAGCTATATTCAGTCACGGTCCCTCGTTTGGCGCCAAGTGTCACAGGTGAGAAAAATCTGCAGCCTGAATGGATCTCGAACCCGGGACCTTCGGAATACTGTACTTCGGCTCATAGTCATATTAGCTATCCGGCCGCTTACAAATCATCTCTCCTATATAGTGAACAGTTCTGAACCGTGAGATACTCCCCTGCTATATTTAAGTTCATCCTCGAAATTACTGAGTTACAGAGAAATGTTTATTAAACTCTGAGCTATATTCAGTCACGGTCCCCTGTTGGGTGCCAAGTGTCACAGGGTGAGAAAAATGTGCAGCCTGACCAGAACTTGAACCTGGGACCCTCGGAATACTGTACTGCGGCTCATAGTCATATTAGCTATCCGGCCACTTACAAATCAATTCTCTTCTTAATAGTGAACAGTTCTGAACTTTCACATACTCTCTGCTTTATTTAAGTTCATCCTCGAATTTATTGAGTTACAGAGAAATGTTTATTAAACTCTGAGCTATATTCAGTCACGGTCCCCCGTTGGGTGCCAAGTGTCACAGGGTGAGAAAAATGTGCAGCCTGACCGGAACTCAAACCCAGGACCCCCGGAATACTGTACAGCATCTCTACCACCTGAGTTATCAAGCCGCTTACACATCATCTCCCCTAAATAGTGAACAGTTCTGAACCGTGACAATAAAAAATCATTTTGTTGCCCCATATTTAGCGTACAATCGCCTTAAATTTGGCGTTTAATCATACTGTCACCTGTGCGTGACCCATCGATGACTCTCTATTTTTTCATTATTTTGTTCTGTTGCAGTCAAGGGGGCGAAGAAAGTGAAGTGAAGAAAGCAACAAAACAAAAAAAAATATTGTGCAGCCTGATCGGGACTCGAACCTAGGACCCTCGAATACCATACCACGGCTCTACCGAATGAGCTATCCGGCCTCTTATACATTTTCTCCCCTAAAAGCTATTGAGATACTTTCCTGCTATATTTAAATTCATCCTCAAATTTCTCAGGTTACAAAGCAATGTGAATTTAACTCTGGGCTATATTCAGTCACAGCTTCAAATTGGGTACCAAATGTCACAGGGTGAGAAGAATGTGCAGCCCGACCGGGACTCATACATAGGACCCTTGGAATACCGTACCACAGCTCTTACTAACTGAGCTATCCAGGGGCTTACACATTTTCTTCCCTGAACCGTGACACAATAAATATAGTATTACATCAAGGACTTGCCTTTTTTTGTAAACAAGTTAAATACCAAATAAAAGGTATTGGGGAAAGGTCTTGTTTATTATAGTGTCACCACTACTGTAAGGGCCAGCCATTTCTGACTTATGAGACACCTATAAATTGCTTGCATACCATGTACCTCCCAACTCCTACCACTATGCCAGGCGCAAGGCGGATAGAAATTGGTAACCATTCATTTTAACTACTGAGCAGCTAAAGGCTTTGTAGGAACGAGTCTCACAATAAATATTCATACTTCAATTACCTTCCCTGTTGGGGGCTTGAACCTTCAACCTCACAAACTGAAGGCAGACACCTTAACCACTAGGCCAACGATACCAAATACATGTACACACTGAAATATGTTTGTTTGTTTGTTTTGGGTTTTATGTCACATCGACACAGTATAGGTCATATCGCGACGTTCCAGCTTTACTGGTGGAGGAAGACCTCAGGTGCCCTTCCGTGCATAATTCAGGCACGAACAGGCACCTGAGTAGAACCGCCGACATTCCGTAAGCTAGCTGGATAGCTTCCTCACATGAAAGAATCCGAAGTCCCCGTCGGGATTCGAACCCACAGCGGTGAAGGGCAAGTGGTTTGAAGTCAACAACCTCAACCACTCGGCCACGGACGCCCCCTGAAATATGAATTTTACCCTTGTTGAAATTTTACAAACCGGACCTCTGGTGAAAATCGTGAAGGAACCACATCATTCTGTAAATAAATTTATCTTTTAATTTATATAATTCAACAGTTGTTTTCTATATAATGCATGAACATAATTGAGCCGTGTCATGACAAAACCAACATAATGGTTTTTCGACCAGCATGGATCCAGACCAGCCTGCGCATCCGCACAGTCTGATCAGGATCCATACTGTTCGCTTACCAACCCTTTTACAAGTTGAGGAACTGATAGCTAACAGCATGGATCTTGATCAGACTGCACGGATGCGCAGGCTGGTCTGGATCCATGCTGGTCGCAAACCCATTATGTTGGTTTTGTCGTGACACGGCTCATATGATTTTTTCACTGTCACCAATATCACTCATACAAGTTAATCAATTACATGCAACAAAATTATAAATGTTAAATGCATATAAAAACTTAATAATTTTAGTCCAGTTTGATTATATATATTATATTTAGGATTATCACAAGATTCTTAATTAAAGTCCTACCAATTGGTAATTTTGTAACACGGTGAGAAAAATGTGCAGCCTGAACAGGACTCAAACCCGGGACACTCAGAATATCTTACTCCAGCTCTACCGTCTGAGCTATTATGCTGCTTACACATCAACTCTTCTAAATAGTGAACAGTTCTGAACCATTATAATTAGTTCTCCGATATATTGAAGTTTGTCAGAAATACAGAGCTATGTGAATTAAGGTAAGACCTGGGTAATGGGCAATAACATGAACCTAAAATTGCACATTATATTATTGTTTTGTATCATTATGTACATCAAAATTTAAAATATTAAACGAATTTACTGTGTTGTTTTATAGCTACAAGTGTTTTTGTAAATACCCCGTTTCAATAATTTAGCGGCAAAATTGCCACTGTCATATTTTGCTAAATATTTGTTGTTTTCTTTTTGCCTAAAAATAGAACGAAACAATATGTTTCAGCATGTTTTTTTATCTGTATATGTACTGTACCCAAAAACAACAATTCATGAATAATAAAAGGGTTTAAGAAAATATTACCAAAAATGTGAAACGGATTTGGTTCAAAAAGTCGCATTTCAGAATTTTGTTATTTTCCAGTTCAAAATTTTTACATGAAAGTGCCTGTTACTATGCAAATTTGGCACCAATTTTTTTCTGTATGTGTGAGCAATAACATATGTTAAAATCAGAAACTTTTACCGTCCAGTTTCTTTTAGACAAGAACACAAACAAGATGACCCCTTGAATTTTGATAGCCATATTTTCATGAACAATGCTTAAAATGTCTTGAACAACTGTTAAACATACAATTTGCATTTGATTCTTGCTATACAAATAAATCAAATGAATAATGTTTTACAAATAAATGAAGAAAACTTAGTTTTCAGTTATTACATAAGAAGAGTTAGGATAAAAATTATTCAGAATTATCATATTTGACTTATTATTTGCCATCGAAGTATGACACTAACTTTGGAATAACGGATTCCAAAACTCTCTTAGAATTGGTCACTCTTGGCAACCCCTCACTATTTTTCATAGTAAACACATTATACAGTCCATCCTCTCCCTTACGTTTAAAAATTGTTTGTAAATGTTTAAAGTTTAACCCCGAACTTGCAACATTATCTGCAGTTGAAGATTTCATGACGCCACTTGCAATAAAAATAGACAAGGATGGCAAGTTTTTATGTTTCTCTTTGTTTGAATCCATATTGTTTTTTCACATCACTAGGAGAGAAACTCTTGACTGTAATACACTTATCATCCTGTTTCAAAGCATAAATGAAAAGCTCGGACAAACAATCAACATCACACAGTGCATTATGAGCGTTATACACATTGGAGAGCAATGATCGGGCTAGGTCCTCCTGCTTGTAAGACTCACGTTTAGGAGAGATAGATTTAAACACGTGAAGACTGTCTACCAATCCCTGCACACATGAACAAAACTCATTAAACATCCCACTAGCTTGACAGGCATTTACGACGATTGGGAAGTCAAAGCGTTTGCCATTATGAGCATTCAGAAAAACAAAGTGAAACTGATTCAGCCAGATAAGAAAATCTCTGCAAGGCTGTTTGTAAAGTTTTTGTTTTCACGGGAATACCATCTACGCACATATCTGTACTATTTGTTACAATATTTTTTGTCACTCGCTCTGCTGATGCGCTCATAGGTAGTTTTGGTAGCCATTAGCAGTTGAAGCTCTTCTCGGTACCAACATGTTTGGCTGCTATCTGTGTAATATGGGGGTAAACATCTCCTCGAACTGGAAAATAAAAATGGTACTGGAGTAAAAAACTGAATAAAAGTTATACAAGACAATAGTATTATAGTGATTTATAACATGCTTTGCAGTGGAAAATGAAATTATATTAGATAATTTTCACAGTGAAATCATAAAATATATTTTTTTCACTGTAGACAGACTATATTCGAATGATGGTGAAAAGAATATTCATATATCTAAGTGGAATAAATTCCGCTCAATGTAAAATTTGTTTCTTAGAAGCAAGTAAATATCTGCATACAGAATTTAAATTTTACAGAGCTATGTTTCAACATTTATACTTTGACATTATGATGTGACTTTACGCGGCAAAATCAGCAAGAATTGACTAATTTTAAAAAAATAAATTTTGTTTTGTACGCAACATTGAAATATATTTAACTCTGGTGAATACCAGCTATAATATTTTATATAAAATAAATGTATCTGGGATTCACTCAGTGACAATATCTTAATCTTACATGCTAAAAAACCCAAATATCCTCTATATAATAATTATACCATCATAAAGCAATTTTTGATTTATAAATGTTGTATTGGATCATCATTTTACATCTATAAACATGCAGAGGAGTAATAAAAAAGGTAAGTAATGTCTACATGAAAAGTACTTACTAAGGTCTGTTGTTTCAAGATCCACAGTGATATAAGAGGGTTCACCACTTGAACAAACTGGCTTGAACACTCCACGTGGTATAGGATCGGGGATTTTGTCTATGTCTATGTCAGCTGTGTGGCCAACTTCTGTACAAATGTAAACCAAAAAAAATTAAAAGAAATGGAATAATAACAAAGAGCAGTTGTTTATAAACATATCATGTCACAATAAATAAAATAATGAGAGCCACGTTGAAACAAACACATGGATTTATACAGTCATTACAATTTGTTTTACTGAAAACACGACTGGAAACTAACCTGACTGATATGTTGCCCCTTCGAGTGACTCTGTAGCTGACTGGTTGACAGCACGCTCTTTTTTCAAAAACAGCGCCTTCCTTTTGTTGATGGCTTAGCAAAGGTTTCCTGACATTTCTGGCGTTTGATGGCACAATGCCGTGCATACTTTTGTGTGTAGTGACCAGGTGACAAATCAGCTTGTTTTTTTACCTGCGAAGAATTTTAAAAACGTATGCATTTTCATTGCTAAACTTATTTACAAAACATACAGCAACATAAATCATGAAGTAAATTGTTAAAAGACAAAAAATAAGATATATAAATATTATGAAAGATTAAAGTGTACACATAGATAGTCAATTGTCATAGAATTAATTTAAAGACAAATCTTGTTGATGGTATAAATGCAAAATGTAAATATGCTAAATTGCAAAATGTGGATATTGAAATTGTAAGATAAAATAAAAAACAAAAAAACTTTACTTCATCTTAAAGATTGCTATTTATGTACTTACTTGTAGCTGGTGTAGAAAATCAAACATTGAAACCAAACTGCAAAACATTGTAACTGAAAATCAAAAGAACAATGAAACTGTAAAAGAGTTGAAATACACATAACTTATAGATTACAGCACTTGGACCATAAATCAAAACATTACAAAACAGTTCACAAAAATGTTCCTCGGTTACTGTAGTCTATAACTTCTTTGATAAAGAAACTTTAACAAGTTGGATAAATTCTTAGCTTGGCAATCAAAGTAAACTGAAGTAAAATGATGACTGTTTATAAAATAATTGCATATTTCAAAAATGGATATAATTCTATCGAACTCTTGCCAAGGTAAGATTTACTGAAAATTGTAAAACAAACTCTTTATAAAGCATAACAAACATTTGAACAACTTTCCAACTCTTATCTATATGCAGTCAAGGCAACAAGTTGGGTGCCAATTGTAACTGGTTGAGAAAAAATTTGCAGCCTGACCGGGATTTGAACCCGGGACCCTCAAAGTACCAAATTACCATAACTTTACTGACTGATCTATATGGCCACTTACACATTTTCTCCCCGTAACAGTGAACGGTTATGAACCATGACATAATCCTACCAATTAAGTACAAATACTATGTATTTTAAACCTTCAAGAAGAATTTTGTTATCATTATGAAATAAATGCAAATTAAGTCTGTTGCATATGTAGGTCATAGGGCCAGAAAAGAATTTCAAAAAAACACAAAATTAAAAATCTTCTTGTCTGAAAGTACATGGGCCAGAGCTTTGATTTTTGGTATATGGTATCATCTATGGGTCCTCTACCAAAGTTGTTCAAATTTTGTCCCTAGTGTCAAAATTGGCCCCGCCCCGGGGGGTCATAGGTTTGTCCTTATATGTATATAGTAAAATCTAAAAAAATCTTCTTCTCTGATTTGGCAAAGGCTACAGATTAGATATTTGGCATGAAACATTGTGTAGTAGACCTCTATCAAGATTTTTCAAATAATGGCCCTAGGGTCAAAATTGGCCCCGCCCCGAGGGGTCATTGATTTTCATTACATACATATAGTGAAAACTTGAAAAATCTTCTGGTCTGAAAGTAAATGCCCTAGACCTTTGATATTTGGTCTATGGTATCATCTGAAGGTCCAATACCAAAGTTGTACAAATTTTGTTCCTAGTGTCAAAATTGGGCCCGCCCCGGGGGTCATAGGTTTTTCTAATATGTATATAGTAAAACATAAAAAAAATCTTCTTCTCTGAATTGGCAATGGCTACAGGTAAGATATTTGGCATGAAACATTGTGTGGTAGACCTCTTCCAAGATTGTTCAAATAATGGCCATCGGGTCAAAATTGGCCCCGTCCTCGGGGGTCATTGATTTTCATTATATACATATAGTGAAAACTTGAAACATCTTCTGGTCTGAAAGTAAATGGACTAGAGCTTTGATATTTGGTCTATGATATCATCTATAGATCCAAAACCAAAGCTGTTCAAATTTTGTTCCTAGAATTAAAATCGGCCCCGCCCTGGGGGGTCATAGGTTTTTCCTTATATGTATATTGTAAAACCTAAAAAAATCTACTTCTCTGAATTTGTAAAGGCTACAGGTTAGATATTTGGCATTAAAAAATGTAAAGTTGACCTCTACCAAGATTGTTCAAATAATGGCCCTCGGGTCAAAATTGGCCCGGCCCCGGGGGTCATTGATTTCCATTTTATACATATAGTGAAAACTTGAAAAATCTTCTGGTCTAAAAGTAAATGGCCTAGAGCTTTGATATTTGGTATATTGTATTATCTGAAGGTCCAATACCAAAGTTGATCAAATTTTGTCCCTAGTATCAAACTTGGCCCGCCCTGAGGGGTCATAGGTCTTTAGCTCACCTGTCACAAAGTGACAGGGTGAGCTTTTGTGATCGCCTTTCGTCTGGCGTCCGTAAACTTTTACTTAAAATGACATCTCTTCATTAACCGCTGAGTCAATTTCATCCAAACTTCACAGGAATGTTCCTTTGGTGGTCACCTTTAAAAATTGTTCAAAGAATTAAATTCCATGCAGAACTCTGGTTGCCATGGCAACCGATAGAAAAACCTTAAAATATCTTTTTAAAAAACCCAAAAAGGTAGAGCTTAGATATTTGGCATGAAACATCTTCTAGTGAATGTCTATCAAGTTTGTTCAAATAAAAGCCATGGGGTCAAAATTGGCCCCGCCCCGGGGGTCATTGATTTTCCCTATATGCATCTAGTAAAAACTTATAAAATCTTCTTTTAAAGAACCCAAAGAGCTTGAGCTAAGATATTTAGCATGAAACATTTTCTAATGAGTGTCTATCAAGTTTGTTCAAATAAAAGCCCTGGGGTCAAAATTGGCCCCGCCCCAAGGGGTCATTGATTTTCCCTATATGCACATAGTAAAAACTTATAAAATCTTCTTTTAAAGAACCCAAAGAGCTAGAGCTAAGATATTTAGCATGAAATATGTTCTTATGGGTGTCTACCAAATTTGTTCAAATAAGAGCCCTGGGGTCAAAATTTGCCCTGCCCCAGGGGTCATTGATTTTCCTTATATGTGTAAAGCAAAACTTAAAAATAAATCTTCTTTGAAAAAAAAAACAAATAGCTAGAGTTTTGTTACTAAGCATGAAACATCTTCTAGTGAGTGTCTACAAAGTTTGTTCATATAAAAGCCCTTGGGTCAAAATTGGCCTCGCCCCGGGCGTCATTGATTTTATTTATGTGTATAGCAAACACTTAAAAAAACTTCTTTGAAAAAACCAAAATAGCTAAAGTTAAGATATTAAGCATGAAACATCTTCCAGTTAGTGTCTTCAAAGTGTGTTCAAATAAAAGCCATAGGGTCAAAATTGGCCCTGCCCCGGGGGACATTGATTCTCCATATATGTGTATAGCAAAAACTTAAAAATCTGATTTAAAAAAAACAAATAGCTAGAGTTTAGATATTAAGCTTGAAACATCTTCTAGTGAGTGTCAAATTGGGTCAAAACTGGCCCCGCCCTAGGGGTGTCATTGCTTTTAACTATATGTGTATAGTTAAATTTAAAAAAAAATCTTTAAAAAACTCAACGAGCCAAATCTTAGATGTTTAGCATGAAATATCTTCTAATGGGTGTCTAAAGTTTGTTCAAACAAAAGCCATGAGGTTTAAACTGGCCCCGCTCTGGGGGCCTATATACAGGTGAGCGACTTCAGGGCCATCATGGCCCTCTTGTTTTAAAGAACAATTGGCAAAATTTGGCTCATTTGAGACAAAGCTTTATTTATTTTGGTCTACATGCATATTTAACAGCTATCAAGTGTTAACAATCATGGCATCTACATAGTTAAGAGTAAATGTTAAAATACAAAAAGATGTAATTGTGATATGAAGACGTAATAAAAAGCAAGTGATAAACTGGATTTACGTACTATCATGTTATATAATGTTAAAAACGAACAAAACAGTAAGTGAATTTGACACGTGGATCGACGTATGGGATATTCAGTAGGGGAATTGAAATTTTTAGCAGGACATTCGGCAGTACAAGACTGTTGAAATATAAATGCATCTCCTGCTGACATGACATCCTGCAGGACATTCTGCAAGACCGTAATTTAACCGTATCCTCTGCTGGAAGGACATTCAGCAGGACATTGAAATTCAACAAATGCCCTGCTGATAGATATGACATTCGTTAGACTAATCAGAATGAAATTAATATTTTACCGCTTCTCATGCAGGTAGGACATTCAGGTGACCAACCCATTTATGGCAGGACATTTGGTATGGAATTTGGCAGGACAGGAATTTTACCAAACAACATGCTGGCATGACATCAAGCAGAATTTAAAATCAGGGCATGACGTTTTTACCACATTCTTTGCTGGTAGACATTGAAGTTAAATGATTAACATTTCAAAGTCCTGTTGAATATTCAGTACTCCTTAACTGTCTGAACTAAGAATATCCCAAATGCTTATGTTTGCACTGTCTTATAGCCACTTTGCCCTTTGTGGTCACTTATATAAATACTAAATATAATGGCTGTGCTGTTATATTAATGATCTTCAAAGTCCTTTTATATAAATTTAATAATTACCATTTAAAATAGTAATTTGCTAATGCACTACAAAATAAAACCAATATTAATTGATAGATTTTTCATCGATTACGTCAAAGCATTACAAGCAAAATCCCGAGAATATGTTTTCTCCTTGAATATTATTTTTCGTTCTATTTGATCACAGTCCAAGGCATTTAAGTATGTGAAATATATAAGACATTCAAAACAAAAACAAAAAAACATTTTACAGAAACAGGAAAACTGTTGTTTAAAAAGAAAAAAATTATTGTTCCTGTACATTACTGGGCCGCATGACAGTGTAGGTATTAGTTATTTCATTGTAGCTATCAACATATGTGTAGCCAAAATATATATTAAAACAAAATGAAAATAAAAAAACTCTCACTCTTAAGTCTTTATATATAATTTTGAATTCGTTTCCAAATCCATTGCATATATAATTTGGCATATCTTGTACTTAAATGGCTATGAGCTAGAAGGGATTTTTGTCACAAAACATGTCTCCCAAAACTAGGTATGGTAATGATCACGCCAGAAGTTATGCCTGTGATATCCGGACAAGTTTTTCTATAAAAAGCGGCCATTCTTAGCAGCAAAGCCGAACCTCCCCA